CCCTCAGCCATCCCGAGCAGGGGCTAAAGGGTGGCTGCATCACCACTGCGGCTCTTTTCAAACAGTAGAACGGACACAAAAGCTTTTGCCGGGCACTGCCGGGGGCCGCTGGCAAGGCGAGGATCCGGCATCCGCCTGGCGCCCGGCCCCGCGGCTGCCCAGCCCCGCTGGCAAACGCACCTTCCCCCGGGGCCCAGAAGAGAGCTCAGAGCTGACCGAGAGAGAAATCCATGAGGATTCTTATCCTGCTTTTTCTTAGCTGCTCAACAACATGAATGCAAAGTTATCACGGCCAAAGTAAATGGTAGGAGATTGCAGTGCTGCCCCAATGCCACTACAGCGGGCTGTGGCAGCAGAAGCTGCTTCATCACTCGGGTGCGTGATGGAGAGGATGGGCAGAGAGATGACTGAAGAACTGAAAGCAAAATTCAGGCCAGTAAAAATTGCAACTGCTTAAAACAGGTTCAGCTTACCCAAAATACCCATCAGCCAGAGACTGAGAGCCCGTGTTTGATTGTGTGCCACATGCCGGACCAAAGGAGCTCTACAAAAAACTTGTTCTCTCAAAATCAACCCTGAAAGTTAAAAAAAGCTTCAAAACCGTAACAACGGGCACAGTTTGTTCTTTCTCTTACAAGGATGCACATTTCTGGCAGTGTGGAGGGCGAGGGGACGGGCAGCACGTTCCCCTCCAAGTCCTGGTCAGCCCCTTCCCCAACCCCACCCGACCCCTCTGGGCTCAGCGGGGCAGACGCTGGCTCAGCCTTCACAGCTTCCCAGCCGAGCCCATTGTGCAGGGGCTACACGCTGGTTCTCTCTGCCTTCCTGGACTTCAGCTGGAATTAACTTCTAATTAGTTTGTTTCCTTGTAAACTCCATCTCTATCACCCTCATTTCCAGTGCCAGCAGCAGCTGCAGCTGCCCTGCCTGTGCCTTCCCTGTGCTCCACGGCCATCACTGGGGTCAGACCACTCCTGAGCCATTACTTAAAGAGAGTTTAGTTTATTGGCAAAAGAAAGGTGCTGTGAAGTGCCCAAAGGGACCACTGTGGGACACAGCTTGTGCTTGGGCCAGGGAGAGGCTTTATTTATCTGTAGTGACCCCCATGGAGTGAACCCTGGGTTACAAATGAGCTTTTATGCTTTTATTGCACTAACTTGGTTTTTCTATCAGCAGTGATGGGAGAAGAGGGTTGCAAAAGGTTATCAGTGTTCTGCATCTTGCAAAACTGGAAAATATAAATTTCCATCAAGTCCTAGACTATAAAAAGTTTACTGAAAAAAGCTACACCATATATCTTGTATGCAGTTTTTATATATACACACAGTAACTGCCATCACAGAGCAGCCACTGTCCAAAAATCATGGCAACAGCATTCCCAGATTATTCAGCAGAGTCTCCATCCCTGTTCCTTGCTTGTATGGTTTTTTTCAAGTTTCTTTTTCCTCTTAGTGCTCCTCTAGGTCTCCAACTCACATTTATCTCAAAAAATCCCCTTAGTTCAGCTCTGCCCTCATAGCATCAGTGGGCAAAACAGAACTTGATCTTATTGCCAAGCTAACGTCAGGCTAGTTGCCAAGAGCTCCTCACTCTCACCACAGAAATCACAGATACCAAAATAAACAGAAAAGGCAACTCCATCAAAAATCAGCAATTCCCTCAGAAATACTACACTGTACTTTCTGCTGATAAAATGCCTCTATTTTGATTTTTCTTTCCCTCTTTCCTTTCATTCCTCTTTTCACATCTCATCTGTATCTCCTTGTATTCAAGGCATTTTTGAGTGATATCCAGGTGTAGAGCAAGATCAAGCAGGTGCTGCTTGTTCCCAACAGGCCTGGAGTTGATGCCCTGAGACAACAGTTCATTCTTAAAAGCAAAAAGATTCAAGCAGTAGAAAGACCCAGAGTAATCAACTGTACACAGCACACAGCTGTAAATACATTCTTCTCAAAGGTTTTCTCTGAACATACAGATTTTCCTGGTGCTAGTGATGGTGGCAGAGAGACCCCCAGTGGCTTCATGCACCACCAGCCACCACTTGTCACATCTCACAATCTCGAGGTCCTCCCAACAGGCAAGGAAGAAGATTTTGGAGGGGCTGAAGGACAACAAAGCCTTTGGGAGAACAGCCCCTCTGGACATCACCACTTCTGCCAGTGTGGATTGCAAGGACTTTGTAAAAAGTCAGGCCAAACTCTGGAAGAATACTGGTGACTCAAAAGTGGATTTTCAG